AATCTCACATGAGAAGATAAAGGGATGTCATATCTTGAGGAAAGAGTAATGTGTCAGGGTTTACCAGAAGGGATGGAATGTTGGGAAGGGAAAGTCATGGCTGGTGTAGGAGGAGACAGAGTAATAGAAACCATGGTTGCCATTGCATGTGAGAGGATACCAAAAGAGCCCCACAAGGGGTGTCCAGAAGAGAGCAAAGACTCAAGGAAGGAGGTGGAAAGGAGAATAGGCATAATAAAAAAAAGATGGAATGAGACCTGACTGCAGAAAAAGATAGCGAGGGCTGAAGAATGTGCCGCAGGAGACCAGAAGAAAGGAAGGTTAGCAATGAGGGGTGCAAAGGCAACAAAAAGAGGAGTAACAAGTTGAAAGCAAAGCAACAGAAGACTAGTGGGTAAGAAACCATTCTGTGGGTAGGACACGGTCATTTTGAGAAGACAGCCAGCAACAATATGCAGTGTTCCAAGAACATGAGAGCTTATGAAATTTCCCTAAATGGAATAAACCCAAAACCATGTCTGAATATTATCTTCTATGTTTATATGGTAAGGAATAGTAAAAGAAGATTAAATATTATCTGCTATAAGTACAAGTTAATGGGTAAGTAACCACAGCTAAACATTATTTACAATGTGTGACATATTATGGAGTGATTGATTATATCTAAACCTTATATTATTATTGCACATGAAGAAGCAATTATGCTGATCTAATCATTATAGTCTATGTGGACATGTTAAGAAGTAATGAACTAGGACAAAAATTATCTTCCACATATGTGTATGTATTAAGGAGTAATTAACTGAGTCTATACATCACTGTCAGAGTTTTATATGTTAAGAAAGAATAAACAATATCAAAATATTATCTACTATTTGTACATATTAAGGAGTAATGAACTATGACTAAACATCATATTCTGTGAATTATATGTTACATAAAGAGTAAGTATCTATGTCTAAACATCAACAATTATGTGTACATGGAAAGGAACAATGAACTATGTCTAAATATTACTATCAATACGAACATATTAACTATGTTTAAACATTATCTCGTACATGTAAATGAGCAATTAAACATGTATAAACATTATCTCCAATGCGTCACATTTAAGGAATAATGAATTGTATCAAAACATTATCTTCTATGTGGAGACGTTAAAGAGTAAGAACTAGAACTCAACTTTTAACATTAGTAAGTACGTGACAAGGAATAATTTTAAAATTAAAGACTAAGCATTATACATGTTAAAAAATATTGAGCATAGGTTGACCAGATTTCTAAACCGAAAGAGTGGGACAGTCCAACTTTTCAAAATGGTTATAACAGCTTTGAAATAATTTAACTTTTATTTAACTGTTACACAATATTTCTAAATATATTAACATTCACTTTGTTGTTTAAATAATTTCAACTACTTGTTTTACTGATAGAAATAAAACAAATGAGCAAAAATAGACAAATTATATACCTAAGAAATCTTTAACTATTTACTTTATGCAATTCATCTTAAAATAGGTTACTTCATATTTTGATTTATTTAAAAATCCATTACATTTTCAAAATATTACTTTTAGGTTTTAACATTACTTTGAAACTTTTTACACTTATTTTGTGACTAAGGAATGGAGCATAGAAATTAGTTTTTTTCAGTAAATAGTCATAAAATTCACTACATGACTGTGTAAGATGTGTTTTGACAATGAGCATTGTCTTAACTGTCTCTACACCCAGATCTGGATTTCTCACCATGCACAGAAAGAACTTTTGAGAGAGTTTGACAGCAGAAGAGTCTGTATTACAGCAATTAGCAAGTCAAGGAAGCCTATTACATTCTTGATTAAATGTCACAGACAGTTTGACTTAAAACTGGGACGTTTTGTGCATCCTAAGAACTTTTCTCAGGTCACTAGGACAAACTACTAAAAAATGGGACTGTCCCAGCAAAATAAGGATTTTTGGTCCTCCCTCTAACTGAACAAGATCTAAACATTATAATTTGATAATAAGGAATCCGCTTTTTAGAAAATAAAAGTTTTGAGATGGCTTGTCTGGGTAATGAAAAAACTATTATAAATGTATGATGTTTTGACAAGATTTAACCATCCTCAGGTACAAGTACTTTATGGAGATACACGAGTATATTAATGTATATATGCAGTATAGAACAAAGAGATCAGATGACAGGATATTCAGTAAATCTGGTTTCCAATTTTCAACCTGTTTCTCCAATGTAAAATTCTGGACAGTTATTGCATGTTATTTTATAAATGACGTTGGAATTGTGTGATTCTATGTGACTTTTATTTAATAATGATTTTAGTTTAGTGCCAGGTTTTGGGGTGAATTTGATGTCAACAGGAATTTTATGTTTGATGGCTAATTTTCTCCAAGTGTTGATTACTTATGAGCTGATGTCAGGAATAAATGGTAAAAAATTGTGTAATGTTGTGTTGTTCTTTAGTGTATCAGTGTCAATTTTGTTTATTATTTGAGTTTTGAGGTTTTTGTTCTGGTGGTTGTGTGGAAATGTTTCAACAATAGTTAGTGGAAATTTGTTGGTGTGAATGAAAGAATGCTTTACAGAGTTTATTTCTTCATCTATGTACTCAGTTGAACCAAGTCTTTAAGCTGTGTGTATAAGATTATTTAGTATATGGATTTTTTTGTTTGGATTCATGAATGGAATTCCAGGAGATGTAGAGGCCTATGTGAGTGAATTTTGGTTTTGAAACGTATGTCTGATCTGGTAATGACGAGGTTAAGGTTGTTTTGTGTTCAATCGTGAATTTAATGTTAGTAGAGTGAATGGGGTTTATGTGTTCAACAAAGTACTTATGTGTTCCATAGAAGTGAATGGATAAAGAACTTCAGCAGAAATGGTGGTATATTATTCTGTGTGAGGAATCTCATCACCCACATTAGCAGAGATAAAGTTCACATTGATCTGTGAAACCATATTGAGTACGTTGAACTCAATCAATTTGGAATTATAAAGTTGAATAAAATTGCAAGTTTCAGCCAATTCAAAACACATCTTAATAAGACTGTACCGAGGAAAAGAATGGAGATTCTCATGCACAAATGTAGTCGGAGTATTTGTGCATGGAGGTGTGTCACATTCATCTTGTAGTAGTGCAAATTACTGAGGCAAAATGCACAAACTCAAGAGTTAATGGCTATCTGTGAATAGAGATGAGTATTCATTTTTAAATTTGTTTAGATAAGCTAAAAATGCTGTAACATTCATATATTAAACTCTTGCCCCGCTTTTCACTCATATCCTCTAGCCATTTATCAAACTTTTCATCAGACATTTTAGTTTGGCATAATATTAAGGAAATATATTGATGTAATTTTTGCAGTGTGTGTGGTAAAAGTTATCATGTAAATAAGGAAAATTGGTAGGATAAAAAATCTGGTTTCATTTTATAAAACATTTTGTCTTGTTATATTATGTGTGAGCTTGAAAATGCAATAAACCATCCGTAGTGCTTTTCCTGAAAGTGCATTTCACTTGTTAAATAAAAAATACAATATGTTAATGTAATAGGATGTATTACAAAGAAAAAAAAGAGAGAGAGAGAGAAAAAGAACAAAATGTTTACACAATAATATAATTTTACTTTTGACTTCATACCTTGAAATTTTATCAATGTTAAGAATACATCATAAATGTAAATCTCCTGGATGTCTCCATGAGGCATTACTAAAATATGAATTGCCACCCACTAACTGGAAAGCTCTATTAGTAGTAACTTTCTGCTATTTGGGAAAACACTTGTACATTAACTTCAAATTCTGGTAAGAATTTAAATATAGAGTTTACCATGGAAACTCAACAAATAAGGCAGTTACCTTTTTGGAACGCTGTTTTCAGAAATAAATAAGGATCAGTTTGATGTTAAGGTTTACAATAAACCTTTTTTATATATCTTAAACAAAAAATAAATTGTTCACAAAATACACAAATAGTGACCACCAGAAGAGGACTATCATATAAAATCAAGGATTATTCAAATATTACTTAAAAAAAGCAAAACAATATGAATGAAAACAGAAAAATTAATACCATGTTCAATTAATGCAATGGGTAAAAAAGTTATAAGGTAGCACACACACACCTGTTTTTTTTTTTGCTTGTAATGGGTGGGGGATGTTGTAGGAAGCATATACTAATTGATTAATTGAATATAATCAATTAAAGCCCATCAATTAAACATTTAGCAAATACCACTCATTGCCCAGTTCTACCCTTGAACCTTTATCCAATTCATCAGCAGAAAAGATTGCTTTCTATTTCTGAGTGTCACATGCTATCATTCCTGGAAAAAGTTGGGAAGTTGACAATTAGCTAATACACATTTTGCATGCTTTCTAAGCAAGGAAAGTTAGTGTTACTTGAGCAAATCTTAGAGTTCAAACTGATAACTCTGAAGAAATATATTAATTTTTTGGTTTTGTCTGAATTGTGTTAAGTTGTGATTATGAAAAATAAAGTAAATAAAATATTCATATTTACTATACTGACATAACACTATGTCTTCAACAACACTATTTCTCTTATTCCTGATAAGAGGGGTGGATGATCATTTAAGTTGTTATGGACATTTTCTTTTAAATAATTCATTCTGAATGCCAAGCATCTTATTCATCCTATCAAATACAGTTTAGTGATACTGTATCTTAACTTGACTCTTATGTAGCTTCTTCCATCTAAATTGAGATGTGGAGAAAGCAACACAGCATAGTAAATGAAAGTTAGCTCTATTGTTATATGTGTGTTACTTATAATTCAGGTTTCATTAGCATTCCTTAATTAGGTCTAAACCTGAACAGGGTTCCTTTTCATATTTTGCTATACTTATTTAAACTTGTAGAAAAAAACTCCTGTAACCAGTTCATCTGCATACACCTCGAGGACTGAAATTACACAGATACACACAAATACATAATGTATGTGTGGGGGCATAAACAAAAACAGAAAAAAAACTTACAACTGTAAAATTCTTCTTGTTTCAGTAATGTTAAACAGGTATAATTTGGTCGTGTCTGCAGAAAATCATCATCTGATACTTCAGTACCATCTTGTAAAACAAACTTTACATCGTTGCTGTCAATCTATAGGAGATATAAAAAAATAACAAGATAAAGGCCTGATTAATTGAAGTGATTTTTTGTTTAATATTGAAATAAAAATAAGCAAGGTGACATCATATCTAAGATCACCCTGCACCCACTGAAATAATCACACTAAATGAAGCTAAGGTCTATGAATTCACAAGCAAATATCAACAACTTTAAACAAACAAAATACACACTCCATCATCAGACAAACAGTTATAAAAGTGTATATATATCTAACAAAAAAGCAGTTTGATGAAAAACACTTCTAAAGCTTAAAATTGTTATCCTTAATTAATAAAACATTTCCAACTTTATCATTCCAACACTGAGACTTCTCATTGGCAGTTTTTCCAATCACTAAGAATTGTAAAAGCAAAACTAAGTCATTTCTTGTAATAAGTGAACTAAAAGTATTTGTAATTCAAATGAGGTTGCACTACCTTAATGTTTCATATTTCATTTGATCAATTTCTAGGTCACTCAAAAAACAAGTTCAACAGTTTCTGGTAATAAAGACCTTGAAATAACATACATTTATCAAGTGAAATAAGTAATAATAGGTTAAATTTAAATTAGTTTAATCTTACAATTTAATACAGATACACCTAACTAAATTACACATTTCACTTAATAAATGAATAAATAATAGTAAATAAATAAATATGTTCTTTATTACTTCACAGCTCAACAACAAAGCATTTTCAACTGTTTATGTTGACAGTGACATTCATCAATAACTAACATACTGCAAAGGTATATAAAAGTTCAATGATTAGTCTAGAATTAATAAATTAATTTAAAATGCCAAATATGTTTCAACCACAATTACCAATGATGACAGTAATAACTACATCACCACTTCCACCAAGAGCCTTGCAACATATTCAGACTGTTACAACTTGAGTAATTTAGATACACATATGGATATATATTGATGAAACATGATGAACTGTACAAAATCAAACAAATTATATTCTCATACTAGCAATGGAGATGCTGTATTTTACAATTATGTAGAGTACTTGCTCCAGCATGACTGTCAACTGTAAGCAAGCCCATTCTTAATTCTACACTAAGTTTCAAAAGTTTTTATAATACCTTCGTAACTGTGAATACAAATGTTAACTCACTTGGTAAGATGGCCAAGTAGAGTAACAAACATTTCAAGCCAGCCTCACTGAAAAACTACTGACTATTGACTCATTTTATTGAAATCCTGAAACTCGCATCAATTACTTAAAATATCCCAAAACACTCCTGATATTACACTTCTGCAGGGTTACATTAGCTACCATTTTTCATTCCTTCTTAGTCTTTTACAACATCAAGATGATGATGAGTACATGAAATAGTAATGTCTGAAGAGTACTAACTGCATCAATAGACACAATTTGACAAGGATGAAAGCATACCTATTACTTCTTATATTATTATCCCCCCTTATTATAAAACTCCATTCTCATGTCATTTTGACAAAAAAACATCGTCATCCAAAATAAATCACAACATAATAAAGCTGACAAAATATTTAGCTTTCTGAAGGCCTACATGCTCTTTGAAATGTTGTAATAATTTTGCTTCTCTTTCGAACATATCCTGATCAAAATCAGATCTATTTCTAGCTATGAGTAATATCTACCATTTACTTCATCAAATTCACCTGTCCTGTAACCTTCATTAAAAGAAATGTCAGTCAAGGGACAGGATATTTCCTCTCTCTTTCTTGATAATCTCTTTAGTCACCACACTATTGTAGCTCTCACGAGAATATAGCATACTTCTGATACTCCTTTCACTATTGAAAGAATTATCTTATCAGCCAGAAGAACTACCAAAATGATGGAGCTGTAACCAGTTAATATGTATCACCAAATTGCCACATGATATTAAAGTACTGGGTTTCGATAGCTTTAACGATGCTGCTGCTTTACAAAAAGATAATTTGGAGAACTGGGTTAATAAACTGTAGATGGCTTTTAATTATAATAAATGCAAGATCATGCATGGGTGTTATAAGTTGAATTATAAGTATGATTTTGATGAAAATAACCTTCAGAGTCTTATGGAAGAAAACAATCTTGTTGTTCTGGTTGTATTGATCAGTCTATTAAGCCATCCAAGCAGCATACAGTTGCTGGTGGGAAGGCAAATAGGATTTTAGGTTGTATCAACAGAAATATTGAATACAAGTCTAATTAGGTTATAATTTTATTGTATAAGACATTGGTTAGGCCAAATTTAGAGTACTGTATTCATTATTGGGATCTCTACCATAGGAAGGACACTGAATTGTTGGAAAGGGTTCAGAGGAGGGATAAAAGGATGAACATCCTTGAGGACAGGTTAACACCTCTGAAAATGTTTTATACTAAAAAATATGAGTTAGAAGAAATCAAGTTGAGGTGTTTAAGACTGTTGAGAGAATTGATAATGTTGATGTATCATTTTTTTTCACATTCAATGGTGAGAATGCTAATACTATGGAACACAAATATAGATCTTAGCAGAGTAGAAATCATCATCAGCTAAGACAGTTTTATTTTCCCAACAGAATGATTTTCCTTTGGAATAGGTTGCTTTTAGATGTAGTGGATGCAGTACATTTAAGGAAATTTAACCCTATGTTTACAAGTGGTGATCAAAGTGTGCAAGTTATGACCGTTTCAAGTGCCATTTAACATGGTATTATGTGTATCTAATCAAAAACACCTTAGGTATGAAAAAAAAAAAATGTGTGGCAAAAAAAGGATTGAGCATGCAAGTTAAAGATATATTTATAGTATTGATGAAAAATTTACAGCAATATTCATTTGTTAGTTAGCCAGGGCACATTTTTTTGTTCAACTTGGGGCATGATGGTGGGTGAAACAAAATATGCAGCCTAGGTAACCAATGAATGAATCTTTGCTGAGAAATTCTTATCAATGCTATAAGCGTAGCTGCCAGTTTTGCAGTCAATTTTGATTTCATTCCTTTAAGTCGCATACTCAATCCTTTTTTGGCTACACTTTGTTTTCACACCTTCGGTGTTTTTGATTAGATATCATGACCTTTATCAATACACACCAACAAACCACAGCAAGTAAGAAAGTGACACTCGATAGTAACCATTAGCTTCATGATTGCAACCCTATTGTTCAAAACAGACCTATCCTTTACAAAACCAACCAGATTCTTTAAAATATATGGTGGTAGTTTTTACTCTCTAAAACAGTGTTAATAACTTACTTTATAGTAACACCACGGAATATAGATTAACAGTTTCTTGTCATCATCCGTATGCACTTAGTACAGCCGCATCATTATTTACACTAATTGCTTAAGCTAATATCACAACACTAAATGCTCTTTAATTAGAATTTCATAAAATTTAGCAAATTTGTGTTTAAAAATTAGCATTGAATAATAACCATCTACCTGTATGATTCTTTTGAAAACTTGAGCTAGAAACTGCTAACCTAGCTTGCTTGGCCTAACCAATACTTAAGTATCTGCACATCTTTTCATCCTATAGTTTTGCTGCTCTAAGTAAGCCATCTTTAATTTCAGTGACAAAAATTAAAAGTGATCTACATGTACTCTTAGGTGAAGCTGTAGTAAAACTGTCAAACAAATAGCTCACGTGACTTTTTGCATAGGCATGCACAAAAAGTTTAATCAAATTTGAGTGTTTTTTGTTGAATAACTTTGCACGTCACTTATAGTTAGACCAAATTTGACACATAATTGTACACTATAGTATATAATTAAAAACAATGTTTCCTATTTACACAATTTCTTCATTGAAGCCATATGGCTTAGACTTTAAAATGGCACTCTACATGTACAAGATTCCATCTGATCTACATCATCTTCAGAAGTTACTTAAAAGACACACTTTATACTTTTACCCCTTGTCACATTGCTTCACTATTATTTACATATTTTCTTTGTCTATTTTTTTATAATATATTTCACCATATATCAACATATTGACTTGCTGGTCCTTCATCTCTATATGGTACTTCTTTTTGTTTTTCTATATTTCATTATTTCTCATGTTTTTCTAATATTTAATGCTATAATACTACAAGGATGAGCTAAAATTAAAGTATTTTTCCATAACATTGTATGTTGGGTAGTTTTTACATGTTCAGCTATAGCTGAGGTTTCTATTTTATTATTTCTTATATAACCTTTATGTTCTTGCAATCTGTATTAAAACTTCCTTAAGTTTGACCAATATAAGTACTACTACATTCACATTCTATTTTGTAAATACCCATTTTATCTATAAATTATATTTTATCTTTAGTATTCCTTATCCTGCCTTTTATCTTATTTATTGGTTTGAAGATAGGATAAAAATTCTGATGCTTTTTAAATACTTAATATAATTGACTTGTTAAACCTGGAACATAAGATAAACTTAAAGTTTCTTTTTGTTTTTTCATAAATAGATCTCATTGTGGAATTTTTAATTATATTTGCACCTTTGTTAAATTTCTTAAGTGCTTATGTGCTTTCTTAAGTGGCTTTAATAAAGTTTTAAATTGTATAAACAGGAAACATTATTTTTAATTATTTATCATAATTTTCAATATTACACAAGTGCCGGTAATTCATATCTAATTGTAGGTTGTAAAGATCTATCAGTGTACCAAATCTGAAAAAAGTTCATAAAAGTTAAGTATGTTTTCTATCAAATACATTTTCTGTACTTTTGGTGCAAAGAAAAAAAAAGGAAAAAATTCATTAACAATTGGAGATTTTATATCCTATGCATTTCTTAATGGATTGCCTTCAAATTTGGTATGTGAATTATGGGTTCAGAAAAGCACATCCACTGTAAATATGCGACAGTTTGGATTACCGCAGTCCAAACTACAGAAAGTGAAAAATTGCTAAACTATCACTCCTGTTAATAACACACATTGTGTACTGCAAGTTGTTTTGGGCATACAACACACTACCGTGTGTCTTGATAATATTAAAGTTATCAACAATTCATTTTA